GCATTGCATCTGATAATGAAGATGAGTGTGGTCGACATTGTCGTGACCTGCAAAGATGAAGCTAATTCGCGTGGAAAGAGGGTTCGCACCGATGGCTGGTAGGTCTCCATCTTTTTCTGTACTGCTGAAATGCATTTCTTTATGGTTGTTAATTATTGTGTGATACATAGTATAAAATATGGCACATAATAGTATCATGCTAATATAAATATGGTATGGACGTATGATACTTACAGTACGTAACCTTGATCTGAGTAGTATGGGTGATAGGTAAATTTGGTACTGCTGGTGGGAAAACATAGTATCATATAATGAGGAAGATAGTACGTTACCTTCATCTGAATAGTATGGGTGATAGGTAAATTTGGTACTGTTAATGGGAAAACATAGTATCATATAATGGGGAAGATAGTACGTAACCTTCATCTGAATAGTATGGGTGGTAGGTAAACTTGGTACTATTTGTGGGAAAACTTAGTATTATATAATGGATAAGATAGTATGGAACCAGTGCATTGTTATGATATTTTCATGTACATTGTTATTTGGATTCCACTCTATTGTAATCCATTTTTAAAATTTTTTTGAAACCAAAAGCGGCGATCAATCGATGGAAATCGAGGGTAATCCGCTTGGAAATTCAATTGATGCATGGAGACATTGCATCCGTGGGGAGAATCAGTTTTTTAAAGATCCTGATGATTTTAGGCATATGCTGAAAAACTATTCTATTGCTAATAATCGATCATTTAAGTACATGAAAAATGATCAACAAAAGATCATAGCAGTATGCATTCACGAAAACTGCAAATGGAGGGTTTATGCATCATTGTACAAGTCAGATAAGTTATTTAGCATTCGCAAGTGCAATCTTGAGCACACTTGTGGTGATGCTACTCTTCGTACAAGGGGTCATCCTAAAGCCGATGCTACATGGATTGCCCAAATTATGAAACGAAAATTGAGAACGCAGCCAGCTTACACACCATGTGGTATGTTAGAAGATATCCGAGACGATTATGGTCTGGAGCTTCAGTACTACACAGCATGGAGGGGTAAAGAAAAAGCAATGCGTGATATCCATGGTGATGAGACGACATGTTATGATAAACTGAGACGCTATTGTCGTGCATTAAAAATGCATAACCCTGGTAGCATGGCAGAGTATGAGATTGAACCTGCTACTCAAAAGTTTATTCGAATATTTATTAGTTTTGGGAGTTCTATCTCCGGCTTTCATCGGTGTAGGCCGATGATATGTTTGGATGGGACTCACATTAAAAATAAGTACAAAGGATGCTTGCTTTCTGCTGTGTGCAAGGATCCAAATGATTCCTTGTATACATTGGCATACGCAGTTGTTGATGCTGAGAATGATAAAAACTGGGAGTGGTTTTGCATTAAATTGAAACAAATTCTAGATCTTCACAATGACAATAGATCTTTTACCATTTTCTCTGATCGTCATTCGGGGCTTCTTAAAGCCGTCCCGATGGTATTTCCTACTAGCCACCATGCATATTGTTTGCGACACTTGGTGGATAACTTTAGAACTCAGGTATTTTGATTCTCTTTAATATGCAAATTGGAACGTACCATTTGTCACCTCATGTCATACTTTTGTATAACATGTTTCATACTTTTGTATAACATGTTTCATACATTTGTGTAACATGTGTCATACTTTTGTATAACACATTTCATACATTTGTATAGCATGTTTCATACATTTGTATAGCATGTTTCATACATTTGTATAACATGTTTCAAAATAATATAGGTCCTGAGGAAGTACCCATTGCACAACAAGTCATATTGGGCGAGTGTTTTACATAATGCTGCATATGCTCCTACTCGGCAGGAGTTCGATGCAACTATTTCTCGTATAGTGCAATCTATGCCTCTCGCGGCATCATTTATTTCGAATTCTGATCCAAATCATTGGGCTAATGCCTATTTTTCTGGAGAAAGATGGGGAATCGTGAACAATAATCAGGCAGAAAATTGGAATGGTTGGGTTAAAGATGCCCGATCTTTGCCTGTTCCATCCATGATTGATCACATACGGATCAAAATAATGGAGATGCTAGTTAAACGACAAGGAAAAAGTTTGGCAATGACTGGCATATTGTGCAAGAAAATTCTAAAGAGATTAACAATCAATCATATGGCCTCTCGTTCCTTAAAATATTGTAGATCAAGTAGTACCGCTTTTGAGGTATATGATGAGGACAAGTCGTATAAGGTTGACTTGCAGCAGAAGACTTGTTCTTGTAAAGCATGGCAATTAGAGAAACTTCCATGCAAACATGCATGTGCATGTTTGGAGTCAAAAGGATACTCAGTATATGAGTTTGTGGATCCATGCTTTCATATTGATACGTACAAACAGGTATATCAATTCACGATTAACCCAATTCCCTCGTTTGATGAGGACTTTGACTTGTACGATGCGTGTAATGCTCCGCCCGATGTCTTTGTTAATGCACCTGATTCGAGAACTCGACCGGGACGTAGAAAGACAAAAAGAATTCCTTCACAAGTGCAAACTCGTAAACTGAATTGTACTCGGTGTGGGAAGCCTGGACACAATCGTCGTACTTGCACACAACCAATCTGACTACCAATTTTTTTTAATGTAAATACTGTCTGCATTTGTGTTAATTAAACTAACTAGTCTTGTTTCTAATGTAAATTTTATGTTTTTCATCAAGGAGGACAAGATGGAGGAGAGCTTACATGATTGCCCATTATGTTATTCAAGTGATTGAAGTGAATGAAAACTGGCTGTTTGTACTTTATTATTATGTGATTTGCACTATGTTGTTTTGAACTTTGTACTATGTTTCAATTTGCACTATGTTTTTGCTATTTGTAGTTTGTACTATGTATTAGGTACTCTGTTCATTGATGGTTTATCATTTTCAGTCTAATGGTACTATTTTTATTTACACATGGTATTGGATATGAGATAGGATGGTATGCCTATTGTTGGTTGATGGTTTATCATTTTCAGTCTAATAGTACTATTTTTATTTACACATGGTATTAGATATGCGATATGATGGTATGCTTGTTGCTGCTTGATGGTTTATCATTTTCAGTATAAAGGTACTGATTTGATTTACGCATGGTATTATCTATGAGATAGGATGGTATGACTTACTCAATTTATGACCGTTACAATATAGCCGTTGCTTATAATATAGCCGTTGCTTATTGTCAGAACTAGTCAAGTCATAACATGACCATAAATGACACATAGGCTCATTTGTTTCTAATTCATGGCTTCTTTTAGTAGCACCACTCAAATGAGTGGGTTAAAATACAAAAAAGGGAAATGCAAGCGTCTTGATTGTGGGAAGAAAACAATAATCATGGTTTCAGAAACTATTTCGAATCCCGGAAGGTTATTTTACTGTTGCCCACACCATGGCTACTCCCATTGGTGTGAACCATTTGAAGTTGGGCAAACTTTTTCCAACTCAAATCGTGAAGAAAATGAAGCTACAAGTGCGTCGATGAACCAAGTCCATCAAGAAAGTGAAGTGAAGAATTGCAATTCTGAAGGTGGAGTAGTTCATAGTTTGATAGTGTTGAATCTAGTAATATTTGCAGTCTACATGCTATGTAAAACCTATGTACTGTTGTTTAATTAGTGAACATAAGAGTACAATGTATAAGCTGGTAAAGTTTGGGTTCTTCAGCATTTATAGTACGCTTTGTTAACCAATTAAGTATAATGTATAAGCTGGTAAAGTACAAGTGAGTCATCACTATAGTACCATGTGTTCACTGATAAAGTATATTTTTGCCATTCATATAGTATTTTTACACTCTATATATTATTGTCGGGCCAATGCGTCCATATGATCGCATTTTAAGACACAACTCTTCAGTTTTAGACTATTAAGAATGAATGGAGACAATGTGGGAGTAGATCAACATCGACTATGGTAAGAATTGAGGAAAGTATTAGTTTTACACTTGAGCAATGTAGACTTGTATGAATATATTGTATAGTATATGAGTATCATGTATGAAATTCAACATATTTATGGGATCTTGTATTCAAACGCAACAATAATGCTCACCTACCTTAAAATAATCATCTAAAACATAATTTATGCATCTCCCGTACTTATTGATCATTAAAACGTCGATGAAATTGGTACAATTCAATTCATCAAAAAATATAGTACGCTTTGTTCACCAATTAAGTATAATGTTTAAGCCGTTAAAGTACAAGTGAGTCATCACTATAGTACGATTTGTTCACTGATAAAGTATATGTTTGCCATTCATATAGTATTTTTACACTCTATATATTATTGTCGGGCCAATGCATCCATATGATCGCATTTTAAGACACAACTCTTCAGTTTTAGACTATTAAGAATGAATGGAGACAATGTGGGAGTAGATCAACATCGACTATGGTAAGAATTGAGGAAAGTATTAGTTTTACACTTGAGCATTGTAGACTTGTATGAATATATTGTATAGTATATGAGTATCATGTATGAAATTCAACATATTTATGGGATCTTGTAATCCAAACGCAACAATAATGCTCACCTACCTTAAAATAATCATTTAAAACATAATTTATGCATCTCCCGTACTTATTGATCATTAAAACGTCGATGAAATTGGTACAATTCAATTCATCAAAAAATATAGTACGCTTTGTTAACCAATTAAGTACAATGTATAAGCTGGTAAAGTACAAGTGAGTCATCACTATAGTACCATGTGTTCACTGATAAAGTATATGTTTGCCATTCATATAGTATTTTTACACTCTATATATTATTGTCGGGCCAATGCATCCATATGATCGCATTTTAAGACACAACTCTTCAGTTTTAGACTATTAAGAATGAATGGAGACAATGTGGGAGTAGATCAACATCGACTATGGTAAGAATTGAGGAAAGTATTAGTTTTACACTTGAGCAATGTAGACTTGTATGAATATATTGTATAGTATATGAGTATCATGTATGAAATTCAACATATTTATGGGATCTTGTATTCAAACGCAACAATAATGCTCACCTACCTTAAAATAATCATCTAAAACATAATTTATGCATCTCCCGTACTTATTGATCATTAAAACGTCGATGAAATTGGTACAATTCAATTCATCAAAAAATATAGTACGCTTTGTTAACCAATTAAGTACAATGTATAAGCTGGTAAAGTACAAGTGAGTCATCACTATAGTACCATGTGTTCACTGATAAAGTATATGTTTGCCATTCATATAGTATTTTTACACTCTATATATTATTGTCGGGCCAATGCATCCATATGATCGCATTTTAAGACACAACTCTTCAGTTTTAGACTATTAAGAATGAATGGAGACAATGTATGACTATATTGTATAGTATATGTGTATCATGTATGAAATTCAACATATTTATGGGATCTTGTATTCCAAACGCAACAATAATGCTCACCTACCTTAAAATAATCATCTAAAACAATAATGGAGACAATGTGGGAGTCGATCAACATCGATTATGGTAAGTTTTTCGTGAATACACATGTGAAGTACGCTTTGTTCATCAAATAAGTACAAGTCTATTGTTGACAAGGTATCTTCGAATGGACTAGAAAGTATTTGTTGCTCAGTTTTATGGTACGCTTATATTCTTTATACAAACTAATTAATCGCAAAATAAAGTACCATGTGTTCAAAAGGCAAGTACATTTCATCGAAACATATAGTACAATGTATACAATGAAAAAGTACGAGTAGAGCTAATCAATAGTATTATTAGCTCTACAACAAAAGGACAGATTGTTAATGGCATAAAAACACATTCACCTGTTCATTAATTAATTACAAAAAAACACAAGAACCCCAAAACACTTCCACTCCCAGTTTTTTCACAATAACGCCATATCTATTTCATATTTAGCTTCCACTTCTACTCCCCGATGCCTCAGAAAGATAGCTGCTAGTTTTGGGCGAAGTATTTTGATATCGCAAGTTTTTGCCTTAAACCAAATTTCTTCACTGTTTACAGCATGACAATATGCCCACATGCAGACAAACAAGCCGCAATCAAGGTTCCCATCCTGCTGCCTGCATCCATGAACCCATTTAGCTTCCGATTGTATCTGCAACCCAGACCTTCTTTCAACCACCTTGCTGTAAAACGAGGCCTACGAAAATAAAATATTATATTAGTCTACAACAATTCGCAAGAATAAAGAATAACTAATTACAAGAATATGGGCTTACGACATAATCCGCAATTCCTGGGAAATTCGGAGAATAGTCTATGGAGTTCCAATGGTAAATACATTTATCTATTGGGTTCAGAACAAGCAGGAACCAGTGTTCACTGGAATTGATAGGTATCATGACAAATGTTTTACTGAAGATATTTGCTGTGTTTAGCTTGTCAAAAGCCATCGTTCCAAAAATAGTAAAATCATTGAGAAGACGATCAAACTTGGCATCGCTCATTCGTTCTACGTCCATCCGAGGTCGCGACATTAACTCTTGCTACGAAACATAATAGAGAATATTAGATAACATTGTAATGTATGCAAAATTATTTGTTAAACCACTATATACCTGGGCAGGGGAGTCAAGGTAATCAATCTCATGTCCATGCTGGGTCATGATAGATTCGGAACATAATAGATTCAAGTACAAATCTATGTGTTCTGCACTCAGCATTTCATCAAATAAAAGTTCGCACATATGCCTTCCCGTCAACTGATGTGGGCCTCTCTCCACAATAATTTCACTACAGTAAGACATAACCACGTACTATTGGATAAGTAAACTTGTACTATGTACAAAGTTACTACATACTATAACATGCAGTAAACATGTACTATTGGATAAGTAAACTTATACTATGTACAAAGTTACTACATACTATAACATGCAGTCAACATGTACCATTGGATAAGTAAACTTATACTATGTACAAAGTTACTACATACTATAACATGCAGTCAACATGTACTATGCATTCACTTGACATATACCATTAAAGACATTAACATGTACTATCAAGGTGGTTGTGCTCTTACCCTAAATCAACACTTTCCAAGAACTGATCCAACAATATCCTATCTTCTTCGGATATTTGGTCACGACGTACGTAGTCATTTCTTCCCCGGTAATAATCGGCATTCTATATAACGAATAAATCACACCAATTATGACAAAAAATAATAATAATGTAATACTAATATTAGATAAAAATACCTTGATCCCAGGGACTGAAACCGAAACCTTGGACACAGGAACTTGTTTACGACCACGTCCTCGTCCTCGTCCTCGCACGCGTGGAACTTTGGCCTTTGACTTTGGCCTTTGACTTTGACTTTCGTCTCCTTGATTTCTCTCTCTTTCTTCACTTCGTTCTCCTTCACCTTCCATCTCCTCTACTTCATTTTTTTCTCCTTCTTTTTCCCTTTCCTCTATCTCTTTCTCCTTCCTTTTCCCTTTCCTCTATCTCTGCCTCTATCTCTATCTCTTTCTCTGTCTCCGTCTCTCTCTCTTTTTCTGTCTCTGTCTCTTTCTCTTTCTCCTTCTCTTTCTCCTGCTCTTTCTCTATCTCTATCTCCTTCTCTTTCTCTATCTCCTTTTCTTTCTTTCTCTTACTCTGCATTTTTTTTTCTTTATTTTTTTCTTCTGTTACATTCCCCCTCTTCCTTTTTAAGTTATTCATCATCTGCTGCAACTAAAAAAAACAATAGTACGAAACATGTTATACCATAGTATTATATTAGTTGACATATAGTATGTTCCAATGGGAATGGAAGTATGAATTTTAGGGTTTATTGTATTAATGACTTACAGATGTTGCTTCCACGTCTCCAATCTCATCTTCACTACTCTCAGAACTTATTTCCACAAATCTGTCAGCACTAATTCCAACAACTGGACCAGAAATTACTTCCAAAACCGGAGAAAGCAACGCTTTCTCTTTCGGGTACACAGAAAATGGTATAACCTAATAAACGTAAAAAAATTGTTAGCAAATACCTAATACATTATATATTTTGTAACTCAAAGTGTTACCTGCACTTGTTTTATCTGATCAAAAAGCAACCTAGCTGCTTCTTCATCGATTGGGATTTTGCTGTCTTGCCACCGGAAGAACCGGGGAAATTTGTAAACACTGGTGCTAACCCCTAGTGACGTGATCCTTTCATGCACCCATGCCTGCGTATTTTGGAATCAATATTAATTGGTATATTCAATATAACATAATATATATTCACTATTAGATATCACTTACCAATAAGCCGATAGTGCATCCATCAAAATACTTCAACCCCCCCTTCAGATACCCCTCCATATTCTCAACAAGAATATCATACACCAACTTTCCCCATGCAAAAGACCCTAAAACCTCCAAATCTTCTACATGCGGATAAACCCACCTTTCTAACGTTTTGTTCCCCTTTGGCAGTAGAATAGTATTTAACAGATAAATAGTGTACAATCTGCTGAAATCTTCAACAGATTGTTGATCGGTCATAACTGCATAGGCCTCCAGTTTATAACCAATATATGGCCTCGTCACTAAAGATAACTTACCATCAAAAATACGTGTGATGAAATCAGTGTCTCTACCATCCATATTCACATCCACCGGTACGCCTTCGTACTGCAGCCCTAATACGATAGATAATTGCTGCGGAGTGAATTCCAAGCGTATAGTATTTCCCCCAAACCAGAAGGCCCGATCTTCTGGATTGTACGCTTGCATGAGAGACACAACCCTATGGAAGCTGTGGTTTATTTTAGGCATGTCCATGTAGTGATAGAAGGGATTTTTCTTCAGTATTTCATGATGTTGTTTCTTCATCACTTTTTTCACACCTTCCATAGTTAGGTGAAAAGCGATCGGTGAGCACCTGCAGCCTATTGATAGCTTGCTGCAATCTTCTTTTACAACAATTCCTGCAATTACATACACATAAAACAAATACAATTATAACAAATACAACGTACTATAAAGTTCCACATGTCAATACCATCTGAAATCACTAGTAATACCATTCAAAGGCACTGGTAATACTATTATGGCATATGACTTATACTACAGGACCATCAAACATTATACTTCTAGTACCACAAGTCAATACCATCCGAAGTCACAAGTAATACCATTCAAAGGCACTAGTAATACTATTATGGCATATGACTTATACTACAGGACCATCAACATTATACTTCTAGTACCACATGTCAATACCATCCGAAGTCACTAGTAATACCATTCAAAGTCACTGGTAATACTATTGTGGCATATGACACATGCTACAGAACCATCAAAGATTATACCATCTAAATGCACTATTAATACCATTACTGCGCATGACACATACTATAGAACCAGTACGAAAAATACAATAAGCCTCTTTCCCATATCCTATATGAAACCCTTGTTAGGACTCAAAATGCTTTGGGGACATGCTAATGTCACCGAAGAATAATACCCATGAGAAAACTGTTACAAAATCATGAAATTCGACAACAAATAAATGATCTTTGCAAACCCAAACAACAGAACAACAAATATTGGAACCGATTTAATGATTAGGGCAAACACCGAATAAAGTCGAGGCATAATACCCATGAGTGGATATGTTCAAAATCATGCAATTCTATAACAAATAAACCTTTTTGCCCTGCTTAAGCAACACCCAAATGGGTCTGTTTCCAAGAAAATGAAAAAAAAATAAAAAATCAAACCTTGTTGTTTACCCTGCTTCACCATTGTTTATAAATGGGTTTGTTTATACTATTTTTCTGCGGTTTGTTGATTCTTCGTGTTTCGTAATTTCTTCCTTCTTTGTTGTTTCTCTGTTGCGTTTCTTCTTCGTTTCTTCTTCGTTTCTTCTTCGTTTCTTCTTGGTCTGAAAATGGGTATTACTGAACGGTGGTTTTTTCTGCGCCTTTTTAGCTTCTTTTTTGTTGTTTGATTTTTGAAATGTAACGGGCAAAGAGCGTGTAATACAAACGGCGCGTGGGAAGTTGAAAAGAAGTTATGTAAAATTAGTATAAAGTAAAGGGTATTTTCGTATTTGCACATTTTATTAGGGACTGATCTGCATGTTAGGCGCGTGAGTAGGGACTGAAATGCTAGGGGAAACTACCTAGGGACTGATCTGTGATTCAAGTTTTGGATTAGGGATTTATCTGTAGTTTCCCCTTTATTTATAGGCCTTTTCTTTTAGTGAGTGGGCTACTACTATTCCTTATTTTTTTTTAATAGTGACCAAGCTCTTTATTCTTCAATTAAATTTAATTTAAAATATACAAACATAACAATTCAATTTTTGGAAGGCCGTTTATCAAAATTAAAAAAATACAATAAATAATAAAAATCTCGACAAAAAAAATCAAATTGAAAATTCAATACAATAAAATTTCATTCGACACCAAACTAAGGTCTTTTTTAAATGTTGATATGATTGATAAGATTGATTTAATTGAATAGGATTACTACGGTACTTGCTATTTACGGTTTGAAAATTGTTATTTGCGGTTTATAACAAAAAACATTATATATCTTTAAAACCCCCAAAACTTCCCGAAAAAATATCTAAAGATCCCCCCAAAATGCGTAAAAGCCTAACTTGGCCGTCCATTCATGCAGTGCACGCCCAATTTGGGCGTGCAAGCTGCATTTGGGCGCCCGAGTTGGGCGTCCAGTGCAAAAAAAAAAAAAAAAAAAAAATTTAATTGAACGCCCATCTTGGGCGTTCCAACATGTTTTTGCGGAAAAAAAAGTCCTACAAATCGATTTATAGGGTTTTTTTAACATGAAATTGGTTCTGTAATCGACATACCCAATGCATATTACACATAAAAGAGTCGAAATTACATCAAAAAATCGAAGCTCAACCCTTCTTCAAGCTTGATTTCGATTTTTTTTTTTTTTTTTTTGCTATTTACAGTTTGGGGGTTTTTGGATTTTTTTAGAAAGTTTTGGGGGTTTTGTTATAAACCGTAAATAGCATTTCATATTACTAATCATAGTAATTTAATATGATTACTTTGTATTTGAGATTTAATAATTATTTAATACTTGTATTAAGTTATGTAATTTTTAAGATTGTATTTGAGATATTCATATGTTTTATTCACAATTTCGGATCTCAAACGAGGTCTAAATTGAGAAAATAATTATTAAAAAAAGTAAAAATAAAAAAAAAAATATATATATATATATATATATATTTTATATGCCAATTTATTACTTTGATTTTCTTTTATCAAGAAAATTGAACTTATATGATGGCCTTACTACAACACACGCACACACATAAATCAGATCATAAGTTCATTATTCAAACAAATCTCAATTAAAGTTACAATTTAACACCACAAACCCTCAACAAGTGCCAAAAAAAAAATTAATAAAACAAATCGGCCGGTTCAAGTGCCTGGTTTATTTTGGAGGAATTATTCGCTCAACGAAGATCTGAAGATAGCAGATTCATCACTTTTGAAGCAATTGATGGGCCTTTTTCAACCAAGCATCGTAAATCTCGTCTGAATACAGCACAAAATGCACCTGACAAGGTTATACAAAATTTACGAAAACAATGATTATAAATATTTAGGTTTTAATGATGATTTACGCCTACCACCAAATATTACATTCAAGATTTAGTTGATAATTAAGTTGTCCGAAAATAAATTTACCCGCTTGAAGTGCCCTGCAAATTCCTTTACTGTAGAGATGGCAATAGCGGCAGCTTCGTCATACGGATATCTGCAACCACACATATGAGAGACTAAATTCATTTCCTAATCTATCTTCCTGTCTCGAGAAATATCGTCACTTAGAAATGTTGCACTTTGCAAAAGATTCAATATCTCAATTGTTTTAATTGAAGAATGAAGCTAATTTTTTGAAGAAAGAATCCAATCAAGTTTACATTTATCTAGTTTGTATAAGTATATACTGCAATATAAGGCAATATAATTAATTTTTTTCAATGATGAAAAAAGAAAACAAAATAACAAATGACTTTAACTTTAATTAACTCCAGAAATGATATTCATGTTGTGACAACATATATGATACATACCCATAAACTCCACATGATATGGCAGTAAATGCAACATACTGAATGTTATGTTCTTTCGCCACGCGTAAACTGTTTCTGTAACAAGTTCAAGACAAGAAATAGCGAAATTATAACAATGTCGTAAACTTTAACTTGTAAGAAGAGGGCTTTCTAAGTACCTGTACGCATTCCTAAGAGAGGCTTCAGGGTTTTTGTCTTTGTCGTAAATCGGTCCAACTGTATGGATAACATGAGAAGCTGGCAAACGAAAGCCTCTACAAAATTTCGTAAAGTTAGCTCAATTCACTCATCACAATACTAATGAAAAATGAGGACTCAATACTTTGTACTGTTTTTACATACGGTGTAATCCTTGCTTCTCCTGTGGGGCAACGAACTCCAGGCTTCACTTCCGGTACGCCATAGCATGCTTCCCGTAATTGTGGACCAGCAGCTTTATGTATGGCTTTAAACAGGTAAAATACGGAGAAATTAATTGAGAAGAGTTACGAGACATTGCTCAAATTAGAAAACGGAATAGTCACCTCCATCAGCACCACCACCTCCAAGCATCCGTTCGTTAGCTGGATTGACCTATTATAACGAACCAGTGCAACAGTACAAATTAAGCATCAAACTTATGTGGATATTCTACACCAGGCCCCCAAAATTGCTTCTTCGCCCGTGATTCTATCTTTCTACTCAACGAAAAGTCAGAGACGTTTTTAGAGATCATCTTAAATCATCGACAATGTTGCCATTATTAGCTTATGCAAAATGGAATTCAGAGTATTTGATTGTGTAGAGTCGATTATGAGCTAGATATTTAATGCACTATGATCCAAAATTATTCAATAACTATTTTAGGTCGTCTCCCTCACATATTCATCAGAAATTGGGGAAATCCACTATTTTTCTTCAGTATCCACTGATAAACCCTATTTTAGCAATAGAGAGAGAGATAAATTAATTGAGTTGAGAAAGTTACAATAGCGTCGGAGGAACCGTCGACGGACCACTGAGTGATATCGCCCATCTGTATCTTGACAACTCCAGACGGAGAAAGAGGAAACTCCAGAAGATCATCACCTCGGCCGCTAGACATCGTACAGAATCGAACGGCTATCGTCGTCCGGCCGCTACTGCAGTACCTTGGGCTTGAAATATTATCGGAAAAGGGCCGGAGTTGAACGGCGGCGACCCGATGATAGTCGTTATCCGAGAACCACCGACGCCGGCGTAAATTGTGTAGGGATTTGGGGGGATTTGGAGCGGAGGAGAAAATGCGAATGATTCTGGAGTAGAATGGAGTTGCACAAGTAGTCATCGCCTGATTAATATTACAATTTTGTTGGAAAAATAATCCTTAATAAGCTATTATTATTATTATTATTATTATTTGTTTTACACGTCAGCATTTCAATTTGTATTATTGAATAAATAAAAATATAATATTTATGTATTTATTTGCGAATAATAATATTTATTTTGTTGTTGGGATTATTATTTTTAGGCAAATTGGGAAAAAAGACAGAGTCATTCATAGCAAAATTATTGATAGAGTAAAGGTCTAGGGTTCGAGTCCCCCCTCCCCTACTCCTCCTTGTAATGGACTTGAATTTACTCAAAAAAAAAAAAAAAAAAAGCAAGTAGACTTTCTCATAGTGGAATTGATCACATTTGCTAGTCTTGTTTGTGTAATCTTTGAATTCCGGGGTTTACGAGATGCTACATTTGCTGAAAAATACCGGTGATTTTGCACTATAGATTTATAGAAATAACGATCCATAAGCACACGTACACATGAGTATGTATTATTAATTATTATATGTAGATCAATGGAACAAGATTACCCGTTGTAGCATCTACAAAATCGAATTACGGTGTGTGTATTTTTCAGAAACTTTTTTTCAAAATAAATACATATATATGTTATATATTTAATATAATCTTACATGGGCCTAAGTAAGTTTTAGCCCATTAAAGTGAACTATAGCGGCCCAATGGATTCAAACATAGTGCAATAAGGTTTAATGTAAATGTTACTCATACATGGGCCAAATGTTTCTTGTTATTTATGGACTTCAGCATGTAAAGAAATATAAGATGTTGATTTCTTAACTAAATTAAATCAATTATCGAAAGAAAAATAACTAAATTAAATTGAAATAGTTAATACAAATATTAGTAGTTTAATAATGATATCACAATAAAAATGATATTCAATCACATTTAAATAGCCCCCAACTCAACACTTGTACTGAACCAGGGATTTACATCTACAAACTTATATATAATAAGACATTCTTGATGGACATTTTCAATTTTATCCACCATTTCAATATCTCTTACAAAATAAATATTAATAATAATAAAAAAAAAATGTAACTCCTATAATAATAACTTCACTAAATACAAATATAAAGGTCCTCCTTGAGTTAGTGCAGCTAC